TTGTGTGCATAGATTCTGTTCTTACATAAGAACAAACCACAAATAAGAAGAACATTGGTGAATGTCAGAAACTTTGTAAAAACTGCCCTGAGTGGGTTTTAAGAAGACGTTTCTTTTCACCATAGACTGTATGGCGTACACAGGGCACTGCAGGCTCATGCCCTTTTATAAGCATTGATGAGGTGTTTACCTATGATAATTGGGAAAAACTGACATGTGCTTTCAACTTATGAAGACATGGCATTGATCAATATAAGAACAGTTTATGAATGCCAAATTAATCTGATGTACAGTTTTCTTAGAAACCTTCTTAAGAACAAATGTTATTTAAAACAAATTATTTGAAAAATAAAGTTCTATCAGAGGTGAGAATTGTACAGTCTTATTGCTGTGGGCAAGAAAGAGTTCCTGTATCTGTCTTTGCGGCAGTGGAGCTGAACCAGTCTGTTCGAGAAAGTGCTCTGCTGTCTGTCCACCAGGTGTTAGAGAGTGTCCTCTTGATTGTCCATGATGGATAAAAGCTTATTCAGTGCTGTCCTCTCCACCACCCCTTCAAAAGTTTCCAGTTTGCGGCCAATGACGGAGGCAGCCTTCTTAATCAGCCTGTTCAGTCTGTTGGTGTCAAAGGCTCCAATGCTGCTCCCCTAGCAGACCACAGCACAAGTACAAGTACAGTACACTGGCTACAACAGACTGATAGAATATTTCTAACATCTTGCTGCACACGTTGAAAGATCTCAGCTTCCTCAGGAAATAGAGTCTGCTCATTCCTTTCTTGTAGACAGCATCGATGTTGGTTTTCCAGGTACTTGTAATCCTCAACTTTCACAACATCCTCTCCCAGGATACGCAGTGGCTATGAAACCATCCTCTTCCTCCTGAAGTCGACCACCATCTCCCTGGTCTTGGCCACATTCAGAAGCAGATGATTTTTCCCGGCTCACTCTACAAAACCATTCAACAGCGCTCTGTACTCACCCTCCCTCCTATCACTTATACACCCAACCACTGCAGAGTCATCAGAGAACTTCTGTAAATGGCATGACTCAGAGTTGTACTGAAGGTCAGAGATGTACAGTGTGAAGAGGAAGGGTGACAGTACAGTCCCCTGTGGAGCTCCTGTAGTACTCACTACCACATCAGACAGAACACTGCCCAGTCTGACAAACTGAGGTCTGCCTGTCAGATAGTCAGTAATCCAGGAGACGGTGGATGTGTCTACCCACATAGCCTGCAGCTTCTTCCTCATAAGAGCTGGCTGGATGGTGTTGAACGCAATGGAAAAATCAAAGAAAGATCCACTTTGCGACCAGCCTGGTCCAGTTGTGAGTGGGCTCGCTGCAGCAGGTAGATAATTGCATCATCCACTCCAAGATGAGGCTGATAGGCGAACTGAAGAGGGTCCAGCGATGATTTCTTCTGTGGTCTGAGGTGGGGCAGATGCTTTGGAAGCAGTTAGGGTGTGTGGAAGTCTGGGAGTGTGGTGGGGAGGACAGATGAGGGCTGTGTACTGAACATGTTGAAGAACAAATTTAGTTAATTTGCCCTCTACAGGCTGCCTCCTGGTTGTCTGCTTTTCTCCTTGAACCCAGTTATTTCCCTCATTCCAGACCACACATCCCTCACATTGTTCTGTTGGAGTTTGGCCTCCAGGTTGTCTTTGCAATGTGGGAGCTGGGAGAGATCCTCCACAGATTTGGATGTTGGTTGGTCATCCTCATCCACCATCTTCTTCAGCATAATGCTCCGTACAATATTACAGCATCTCCCTGCCATGGCCATATGTCACATACATATATGTCTGTCATAGGTTCTTGGCTCTGTTACTTCTTAAGGGATCCGACCTTGCCATTTGAAGGCACTCTTTACATTTCTCCCAGTGAACACTAAAGCTGTTTTCAGTTTTTGCCAGTTCACTTATGTTCACAACCAGTAGATGCCTGGATTGGTTGTGGTGCTTTGGGATAAAGAAAATATCTAACAATCTAACCAAGGATGACTTGTATCCCAGCTTAGCAGCATACGGAACAAAGGAGTCTCTACCTGGTTGGACAACAGCTCATGGATCTCACATGTGGTCACCTGAAACAAAATTTTGAGTAAATTGTGGTATATATTAGGGCACCATGTATTATTATCAGTTTCAAATGTCAGACCAACCTAAAACAAGCTTTTCCCCCAGCCTATAAATTATCATATTAAAAGGCATGTGGTGAGAAAGGCTAATAGATGAATCATATACATTTCAATATACTCACATTGTCATCAGATGAGAACAGCAGAGGGTATGCCTCCACCAATGCGTCTGTGGTTTCTCTTTTTTTTTTTATAAAGATGCAGATGCCTTGCTCCCCTATATTTTTAATAGTACTTGACATAGTTGTGTCTTATTCAGTGACTGCTCCTGCCAAATTTCTCAGGGGGGTCAATTGTTGCAATGATGGTTAAGGTTTCCTGTGGAATGGGTAAACACATGAATCTGTGTCGCTCCGGTCACTTTAGCACTGAGTCCTGCTGTTCACATCTCATCTCATGTTGTACTGCGCACAAAATCTTGACAAGTCATTTTAGATGATGTTTACATGAGTCTCATAAACTCTGGAGCAAATCAAACAAACACTGAGTTACCTCATGTACTGATGAGGTCCTGATAAGTAGTGATGAGTGTTTATTAGTTCAATTGAGGCAACTTCAGCTCTGATCATCAAGCAGCTGATCACTGAGCAGCTGTGACCAGAGGAACTCTGTGTTTGTTTCCATTGTTCTTCAACAAAGTTACTGACCAGGGGTTCATGGTAACGCTCCTCATCTCACCGCTTGTGTCGCTCCGAGCAAGTGATTGGGGGCGGAACCCCGGGGCCTGTGTGTGTGCTCTCGCTCCTGGTATTTCACATGATGGCCTGATAAAATCTTGTTGTCATAGAGATTGCATTGCAGTGCTTGCAGTTTGAAAAAAAAGTCTTACAATGAAAGTGTATGAGAGCGACTGTCGGCGATTTTTAGCCATATTTAAATCATCCCGTACTCTATTGAACAGGGCTTGACACTGCAGCTGATTGGACTATATAATAATCAGAGGCAGCAGGCAGAACAAACTGTCTTGAGAATGAATATAATTTAATACATTTAAAAAATAATAATGACAATTTAATGAACAAAATGTATCCCTACCATCCTTTTTCCTTATTTTTTTTGGGAGGGCTGCCCTATCGCCCCCTATTGACCAGCTGCCCCTGGTCTTATAACCTCCTTTTTTCACGTTCTTTACCATAGATAGCGTTGCAGCATTTATCTTGATTTTTCAGATTATACTTAATTGATCAGGCTTGTTAGAGGACTGATATATATGTCAATTTGGTGCAGACCAGAAATAGAATCTACCTCTCGTGAATTTAAATGTGGTTTCACGAGGCGACTGTTGAGCCTTGGTGGAGGTATTCACTCTACTGAGTGCCATTCTAGTTTTCCTCATTTGCCAGGAACAGTTTGAAGTTATTCTGCTTCCTTGTTGCAAGTTCACCAATAATACATCGCTGGGAAAAGCCACCTGAGCCTTTTCTGTGTCAGCATTGTACAAATCAGTTGAAAAGACTCATTTTTTCTTTAGCATCATCATCTGAACATTCATCAAGGTGTGGAAAATTGAAAACTATGAGATGAAAGATTTTATGTAACAATCATGTTAAAATCATGTCAATGACCCACCCCCCAATCAATTCCCTTGACCACCTCCATCTATCCTATTTCTATCATTACCCCCATGGCCTGTACTATCATCTTATGATTTCTATGGTGCAAAAGTTACACAGAAAATGAGTGCATATGTCATATGGCACCAAACAGACCTTTGATACAAAATTTTAAGCTTGGAACGTCAAAATTTGCTCACTTAATATCTTTTATGATTACAAAAAACAAGTTGAAAAATATGGAACATATGCCATTTTCCAGACTATTTATTGGACCAGAAGTGATTATTCATCTACTTTGGAGTCCAATCTCAAATCTCCAAACAGTAAAATGTGTCAATATCTGTACTCATGATGAATGATAATCCTCATTGGATAGCTGTGTCTACATCATTCCTTGATAGGCCTGCCACACATAGAGCCTATAAAAAGTTCACTGCTGCAGCACCACACAACACAATCTTGTCGTTGTCACAGCCACTCTGTACACAGGGAGTGTAACATTGTTATCTATGATCATGTATTCTCAGCGTCCACTGGCCGAGTCTGAGTGCGCCATGCCAAGCTAGATGCACACGGAGTGAGCGCCCTTCTCCTTCCTTGACTCACACACTCACTCACACACACCCAAAACACATATTTAACATTGTGTTCATCTTTGTGTAGAAATAAAAAATCAAGCACCCCCCCAAAAAACCTACAACAGGTAGAAAAAAAAAGCCCTGTGATCACACAGAAAAACATCACACTGTTTAAATGTAATTTTCAAAAAATTAAAAAAAGAAAAAAAGAAAATGTTGAATATAAAAACTTGTTGAGTATGAAAACCTGCATTTTACTTAATACTTCTAAATAATGCATAAGTTGTGTTCATTGATTCACTTAAGTCTATAAAAAATGTTTCTCTTACTCTTGTGATCAAAAACATTGATCTGAAGCTCAATTTTAAGGCTCTTCTGTAAATAGTTTTCTAATAAACAATCAGGCGTAGAATACCAACTTCTGGTTTAAGTCCCGTCCCCTCCAAGTATGGATATGGGTACTAATAATTTAGTTGGTTGAACAGATACAGATAATGGTGTACTTGCTCATCCCTAATAAAATGTTTGTATACTTATTTTTAAAGGGGTCAGTTTTTGAATTTAGTTGTATGATAGCTAAATGTCACCAACACACATAACCCATACTGATGCCAAGATAATAGGTCTGCCCACTCCCAACCTCTCTGAGCTCAACTGTAAGGTAATTACTGTCATTGCGACCTCAATAGCACAGGCCTTCTAATTCTTTATTGTTTCTGATTATTTTCAGGTTCCTGGAGAGGATCAGGAGGTGAGACGACACATTACACTGACAAAGTGACCCAGCTCAAAATGGGGCAATGCATATTAAGGTGTTCCCGTTCCTTGTGAACTACGAAAAGGAAGCAACCACGAGGACGAAGGAACTGATAGCAGACGGAGGAGGTGGCGGGGGAGTGGTGTCTTTGGTGTTTGAAGAGAAGGTGTTATGGGTGGCGAGACATTCAGAATGGCCCATGGAAATGAGAGCAGTGAAGGGCCTCCTGGGCCCATGGCAGCAGTGGTGGCTACTGCAGGAGGTATGGTAGCAGAGAGTCCTTCCTCTGCTGTCTCTACCTATATCAAACTGGTACTACTGGGGCTGATAATCTGCATTAGCCTAGTGGGGAACCTAGTGGTATCTCTGTTAGTACTGAGGGACCGGGCCCTGCACAAGGCACCTTATTACTTCCTGCTGGACCTGTGCCTGGCGGACACTATTCGCTCAGCTATCTGCTTCCCTTTTGTTCTGGTGTCAATAAAGAATGGCTCAGCCTGGACCTACAGTGTTCTAAGCTGCAAGGTAGTGGCCTTCATGGCAGTCCTCTTCTGTTTCCATGCTGCCTTCATGCTATTCTGCATCAGCGTAACACGCTACATGGCTATTGCACACCACCGATTTTACTCAAAGCGAATGACATTCTGGACATGTGTGGCAGTGGTGTGTATGGTGTGGACACTGTCTGTGGCAATGGCTTTCCCACCAGTTTTTGACGTGGGCACCTACAAGTTCATTCGCGAGGAGGACCAGTGCATCTTTGAGCACCGCTATTTCAAGGCTAATGACACACTCGGCTTCATGTTAATGTTGGCTGTTCTCATTTTAGCCACACATGTTGTCTACATGAAGTTACTTCTCTTTGAATACAAGCACCGCAAAATGAAACCAGTCCAGATGGTGCCAGCCATCAGTCAGAACTGGACCTTTCACGGACCAGGGGCTACTGGTCAAGCTGCAGCCAACTGGATTGCAGGCTTTGGTAGGGGCCCGATGCCACCCACTTTGCTTGGAATCCGGCAGAACTTGCACAACCAGAACCGGCGCCTGTTGGGCATGGAGGAGTTCAAAGCAGAGAAGCAGCTTGGCAGGATGTTTTATGTTATCACCCTTCTGTTCCTGGTGCTGTGGTCTCCTTACATAGTAGCTTGCTATTGGAGAGTGTTTGTCAAGGCTTGCACAATACCACACAGGTACCTCTCTACAACCGTGTGGATGAGTTTCGCTCAAGCCGGAGTCAACCCTATTGTCTGTTTCTTCCTCAACAAAGACTTGAAGATAGGGCTCCTTTCCCATCTACCAGCCTGCTGCAGGACTAAACCTCATCTGCCACAAGAGCCTTATTGTGTCATTTAAGCAGAGATGATCTGAACATGGAGAAAAACCAAGGGCCAACCAATAGATGTGTTGTGGGATTGTTTACTGTTGTACTTGATTCAATGCAAGCTACATTTATGGTTTGGTTGTTAACTGGTGAGTGCAATGGGAAAAACACTGGAATGTTAAGCATGTAGTTTCATCTACCAAAATCCTTTTCACTGAAAATAAGAACATCGGTGGAGTCAGGCGTTGACTTTTGATAAGGAGGAAAATGCTTTTAATAGCTAAATAATGCAAATAATAATGCAGTCACTGTGGAAACCAAGCCAGACAAATAACTACCAACAAATTACATACGCTGCTTCATTAACAACATCAAAAATGGATTGACACGGATGTTTATGTTGTTTTGGTAACATGAGACGACTAAAGATTTGAACTGGGGACGCTGCCATTCATTTTAAGCCCTAACAGCACCTTTTTAATTAGTATTAATTTTTAGTAATTTAAAACATGTCTTAAAAAATAGAATTGCTGTGAGTTTTAAGGTTTTGATTTTCAGAGGCAAAGCCCAATCCAAAGACAGTCTGTCCAGTAATTTACCGATGTAGAAACACAAAGAATTAAGCTTAAGTTTTTAGAATCACTTATCTCAACAAACAAAGTCAGTTTTAAAGTTGGTAAACATTAGAATGTTGAAATACATTATGTCACATTTTGGCTGTGAAATCATAACGGTTTTGACAAAATGGGGTGAGTTGAACTCGGGACAGGAAACAGAAGCAGCATCAAAAAGTCTGTTTCAGAATACTGAGTCTTTTGATTCAGGGACCAGTTAGATGCTTTAAACTTATCTTATGTTTGGAATCAAATAAAAGTATGTCTATGAATGCCCTTCAAGGTCCAGTGTGTAAGATTTAGGGGAAAGGGAACTATTGGCAGAAATTTAATGTAGAATAATTCTCATGATGTTTTCACTAGTTCGTTTCATCTAAATTGTATGAATTGTAGATTTCTTTACCCCAGAAAAGGCCCTTTATATTTAAATACTTTATATTTACATGGAGCGGACCCTCTCTACGGAGGCTGCCATGTTTTTTACATTAGTGCAGACTGGACAAACTAAACACATTTTGAGTTTTTATGACAACTGAAGGCTACCACAGGTTCTTTTTCATGTTTGGAAGGAGAGGGTGAGGTGAGGGGTGTTCAGCTGCAACATTCAATTTCAACATTAGATATCACAAAATTCTACACACTGTACCTTTCACTTGAGGTTACTATTCTACAATATCATTATTTCTTTTGTATGCAAACACAGTAGCAGGGACTGAGCAAAGAGCAGAGCACCAGCTTTTCTGATTTATGATGTATTTTCTTTTCCGAACTCCAGAATTACAGTGTGTAAGTTTTTCATTATGTGCATCACTTGAAGACAAGATAAATCCTGATCCACTCAGTTAATGGTAAGTAAGCAGAATTTTCACTAACAGCAGCTTGTTATAACATATGACTTGAGACTGAACTCAGTGCCCAGTTGCATTAGATTTTTGTTGTTAAACTGTTACTTGCATTCACAAGAGGTGCAAGAAAAGCTCTCTACTAGCTCTGACTAAGACTGAGGAAGTGTTGGAAATCTCAATGGCTATCTAGTGCATTTTACGTGCTTAATGCTGATGTCCAAATATTTATAATATTTAAGTTTATGATGTTCGTAATTCACTTAAAAACTAAAACCTATAGAACAAAAGCTATCACATGGTCATGCTATCAGTTAATTATAAGCTTGTTTTTTGTTAAAACCCCAATAATTCAATAACTGCAGTTCACTCTGTGGCCTGCAGAAATGATGCCCACATTAGTACCTGATGTGTTGATGTCTATTAAGCATGTGGGAATAATGTTTCACTCTTATCTCTCAGCCATTGTTATTTTCTCGGCCTTTTAAAAGCATTCAGTTTATGTGTGAATATATATATATATATATATATATTGTTGCTTTTAAACTTAATATTAAATGACTAATTTTTGTCATCAACTTTATCTTTATGTACAAACAGCAAAACACTTATCTGAAGTCTGTAAGCAGTAGACAAATATATAAATGTATGAATCAGGTGGAAATAAAATAATTATGGTTCCTACTTAAATGTAGGTACAGTGGAGAACAAGAAGATAGGGAGTAACTGCAAAAAGGAAAAGAGAAATTAATCCTAACAGACGTTTAAGTAAAGTGGCAACTTTGTTGTTTTCTAAAGTGTAAGTTATATTTATTTTTTCATTCCTGTAAAATGTGTATTAATTAAATCCCTTGTTCCTCATAGACTTGTTTTCCTCCACGGTACCAACATTTGAGTAACGATTGAAAGCGGTCAGTATTATATTGTGCAGCTGTTACTGAGTTTATAATCTTTGCTCCTCCTGTAAATTTAATTTGTGTGATGATTCCAGATTCAGACATTATTTGAATCTTAATTTACTCCCTCACCTCAAAGTAACAATGAGGTGTTCGTTGTGTATGACTGAAGCCTTTTCAGACATGACCTGTGGAGGAACTCCAGAGAATTCAGTCTGGACTTTCTCCACAGTTTCCTTTTCACACAGGAACAACACAGCGGGAGGTTCTATGCACAGATGTGTTCACAACAAACTTCCCAAAGGATCCAGCTGAGGAGAGGTGCAGCAGACAGTGGCAATATTAATTCCGCTGCAGAGATCACATGATTAATTTACAGCACATCCACGTCAGCTCTTTGTCTATGTCATCTTCATGTTTGGCTCAGCTTTTTCATCCTGAAATATGTGTTTTCTTCTTGTCTTCTTAATTTTTGCGTCTGTTACGTGTTCAAAACGTCAATGCCCACTCACTCATGGTGAATCCAGTGAAGGATCTCCTGCTGTGTTCTCACATCAGATTCTTCTGACTTTATACTCGGGGGGCCAGGCAGAGAAAGTCCACAGAAAGTCTGGAGGCTCACACTCTGACATATGCGTTCACGCATACATCTCCTCCAGAAAAATTGGGAGGGATCTCTGGAGTTCAGTGCTTGTGTGAAAGGAGATTGAGTGAACGTTTGAGTGATATCTAACAGTCCAGCAGGATTTCAATTTTGAAAAACGTCACAAAGTTTTTGCGTTTATTTTTCAAAGTGCCCATTAGAGAAAAAAATTGTTGTTCTACACTGAGGAGATTGTGATTACGTGATTGATAAGCCAAAGTAAAACACTGTAAATTATCAGCTAAAAGAAGTTGGCATTACACTGATTTGAGAAGCTTTTAGGAGTTTCTGTGACCAGTCATTTTGGCAAATTTTCACGAAAAAAGAACATCTTCCAACTGTGCCAATGATAGGCCCTAAATCATTTTGTTCCAATTCTTATTCAAGTTTGAAACAAACCTACAGAC